TAGTCACAGGAGGGAAGGATGAGGTTGTTACTGATACCTCATTCCCTCATTCCCAATTTCCAACCAACCATGTTGTCCCCACCTCTTTTAACCACTCATGTTGTTTTCCCCACCCACCCAACTCTGTTCTTCATTCTCTCCTACTTCCCAAAACTATATGAAGACTAGTAAGTGCTGCCTCAGGGTCTTTGGTCATTGAGAGAGGCCATTGACACAATGTATTGGTTACTGCTAGCCTAACTCATAAATTGATCATGCTCAGACCATTGTCTCTCACTTTACCTTAATTTTCAAACATAACATAACACCATTTCCCCTCAAGAACTGTCTGTTCATATGTTTATACCATGGAAATGACTTCTACTCTTAGAAATTTGAATCAGTTCCATATACATACATATATATATATGTATAAGATTTTTTCCTACCTCATTGTTTCCCTTTTAATCTTCTAATATTTTATTTAATATGTTTGTATCTATGTTCATTAGGGATGTTGGTCTCTAGTTTTTCAGTTTTGATTATTCCTTTTTATGTATCATTGTGTATTACACATATGTATTCACTGTGTTATAGAAGAAATTTGGTAGGATCCTTTCTTTTGCTGTTTGTGCAAATGATTTATGTGATATTAGAATTAATTATTCTTGGAATGTTTGATAGAATTCACTTGTAGGTTCATCTGGTCCTGGGATTGTTTTTTGGTTTTTTGTTTTTCTTTTCCTTTGGAAGTTCTTTTATGACTTGTTCAGTTTCTTTCTCTGAAACTAGGTTGTGTGAATTATGTACTTTTTCTGTTAAATTTGATAATTTATATGTTTTTTGTAAATATCAATTTATTTCAGTGTTTTTGGTTTGGTTGGCATATTTTGGGCAAAAATAGTTTCCAATAATGTTATTTCTTCATTTGTTGTTAATCCTTCTTTTTAATTTTTGATACTAGTAATTTGGTTTTCTTCTTTTTTATTCAAGTTAAATAGCTTATCAATTTTATTAGGGCTTTTTCTTCTCCAAAAAACCAGCTCCTAGTGTTATTTGTCAATCCAGTGGGTTTTTTAATTTTCAATTTTGTTGATTTTTTTCTTTAATTTTCAATATTTCTATTTTTTTAACATTTGTTGTTTTTCTATTATTATTTTAACTGCATTCCTAATTCATTGATTTGTTCTTTCTCTCTTTTTTTGCTAATAAAAGTATATTTCTATCTATTTTTCCTCCTAATAACTGTTTTTGATGCATCCCCCAAATTTTAAAATATTGCCTCATTATCATAATTATCTTCAGTGACATTTTCTATCATTTCTGTGATCTGTTCTTTGACTCAACAGTTCTTCAGGATTAAGCAGTTTAGTCTCCAGAGTACTTTTTTTCTTTTTCTTTTCCAGTTGATTTCTAATACTTTTTACAGTGGCCCTTTATTTAACATAATTTTTATTACATTGTGATCAGTAAAGGATATGTATAATATTGTTGCTTTTAAAAAGTTGTTTGTGAGGTTTTTATGTCGTAAGACATGATCACTTTTTGTGAAGGTGCCATGCACGACTGAAAATACATATTTTCCTTTCCATTTCCATTCAGTAATCACCACATCTAATTTTTCTAAAATTCTATTCAAATCCTTAACTTTTTTCTTTATTTTTTTAGTTAGATTTATTAGGGTTGACAAGGATAAATAAAAATTCTCCACTATTATATTTTATTGTTTGTTTCTCCTTATAATTAATTTAGTTTTTCCTTTAAGTGTTTAGAAGCTATTTCATTGAGTGCATGTATATTAAGTATTGAAACCAATTCACTGTGTATGTTACCTTTCAGCAAAATGTAGTTTCCTTCGTTATCTTTATATTAAGTCTATTTTTGTTGTTGCCTTGTCTAAAATAATAATTGCTATTCCTGCTTTTGTTTGTTTGTTTTTAGCTGAAATCTAATAGATTTTTCTCCAACCTCTTATTTTAATTAGGTATTAGTCTTTATGTTTCAAGTGTATTTCTTATAAACAACATATTGTTAGAGTGTTTGCTCTCTAATCCATTTTGCTAATTTCTTCTGTTTTATGGGTGAGTTCATCCCATTCTCATTCACAGTTATGATAGATAATTATTTCCCTTCATTGTATTCTATCATACTTTTTCTTTCCTATAGTTTTCTTTCCCTGTTTATTTCAAATTATTATCCTTTCTCTTCTTTTCTTCTTTTAACTTTTTCTTCACTATCCGCTTTCTAAACTTAAGGTTTGTTTTGCTGATGACTAATTTATCCCTGAATCTACCCTTCCTCTTATGTTTTTCCTTTTCCTTTCTTCCTTTTCTTATATGTATTCCTGTTGAATTCAATTTCTCCACCAAACTCTGTGTGTGTGTGTGTGTGTGTGTGTTCTGCCCTCCTGTAGCCAGTTTAGATGAAAGTGAAATTCAAGGACTGTCTACTCCTCCTACCTGTTTGTACATAGTTCTTCTTGCACAATCTGACTATGCTTTCTTTTGAAACTGAGAAAATTGAGGAGGTTCAAGTAACTTACCAAAGATTATATACCTCGTGTGAAACAGCTGGGGTTCAGAATCATGCCTCCCATCTCCCAGCACAAGACTCTTTGGTTCTGTTCACCACACCACTTCTACCATCGGTACGGTGTGGAGGGAGGGACAAGATGAGATGATCTCTAATCTTCTCTGATTTTTGCTCCATCTCATGCATACTAGGACCAGCCAAGAAACATCAATTCCAGAATGACAGTAAAGGAACTCAATACAAACTTATTTCCCCACCCCCACCCCCATTTCCTTAGCAAGTACGTTGAAATAAGGAGGCCTGGATCCTAGGCCTCACCACCTCAGCTTCCTCTCTTCTCTTACTGTCATTATCACCACAGCCATTAGACTGTGAGCTTCTCCAGGGCATGGACTGTATGTGGGCTCTTTTTGTATTCTCAGCCCTTAGTATAGTGCCTGAAACATAGTAGGCTCTTAATATATATTGATTGATTGACTGACTTACTCCACCTAGTAAGCTCAATAGAATTTAGATCTGTGGTAGGAAAGAAGGAGGTGAGGGAGGAAGGAAGGAAGGAAGGAAGGAGGGTGAGAGGGTGGAGTAAGCACTCCTTATGTGCCCAACAATGTGCCAACATCTAGGAATGCAGAAGAAAGGCGGCCTAGTCTCATTCCTCAAGGAGCTTGCATTCTAATAGGGGTGGACCATATGCAAAGGGAGCTGGAAAACACTGGGAGGCTCTGGGTGGGAAATAAAGGTACCTAGTTTAGAGGCATGGTTTTGAAGTCCAGAGAATGTCAGGAACAGTGCCAGGAGGGGAAAGCAGAAGTTGGCCAGGCAAGATAAGTTAGAAAAGATCAGTAAAGCAATTAATGTAAATAAAACAAGTTAGTAAGGAAGGCTGGAAAATCATATAATTTAATAAAACAAATAAAGAGTTTAGTGAGAAAAGAGAAAGAGGGTGTGGTTGTCAAGTTGTTAAACCACTGCTGGCTCAATCTAGAAAGATGAAATTGAATTCAATAAATGTAAAATTTTACACATAAGTACCCAAAACCCAACTTTACAAGTGTGATATGGGCAGGTAGTGTTAGACTGCAGTTTCTCTGAAAAAGATCAGTGGCAAACAGTGCCAGCCAAGAGAGCCAATGTGATCTGGGGCCGTATTAAGAGTCACAGCTTCCAGGAATAGGGAGGTGAAAATCTCTCTTCACTCTGTGCTTATCAGATCTGGAATACTGGGTCCCATTCTGGGCACCATGATTTGAGAAAGACAGGAATAAATTGGAACATTTCCAGAAGAGGGTAATAAATGTGGTGAAGGACCTTCAAGGCACTGGAGAAGAGAAGCCGTGCAGAGGACTGCATTCAGGAATGGTCATGTGGAGGAGCCAGCATTTGGGGTTTCCTGTGCCACCACAGAGGGTAGACCTCAGAGCCTAGGGAGCTGACTAAGAACACCTGGGGGCGTCCCCAAGGCAAATGGGCGGACTTGAGGGGGGGGGCGGGGCCCTCCCTCTCCTTGGAGGTCTTTGAGAAGGTTCTGGACAAGCACTTGTCAAGTACGTTCTAGACAGGCGATTTGAGGGGAGGGAGCGGGATGGGAATGCAAAGGGGTGGGGTGTGGCTAGGGTTTGGGTAAGATATCTCTGAGCTCCTTCTACCTACAGAGGTTCTTGGAGACGGGCTCCTGCCCCCTTTGGCAGTCTCTCCCTGCTCTGGGCCTGGAAGCTCCTTTACCTCAGCTCTAGGATATCCAGAGGAAAGTGCAGCCGGTCCCAGCACTGTCCCTGGTGACCTGAGACAAGCCCTTTACTCTTTCTGGGCCTACGGAAGTGGGGCAATGAATGAAAGAGACCCCTAGCAGGAAGGCCATGATCTTAGAGGGCATCTAGTGTATGAACAGGAATCCCTTGAGCCCTGCTTCCCCAAGCGGTCACGTAAGCTCTGCCAGAAGACGCGCCCAGGACGCCTTTCCCCTTTGAAGCTAGTTGTGGTTTTCAGAAAGCTTCCCCTTCCATGGAGCCATAGCCCCCCCATTCTGGCCCCTCCCTCAGCCCTTCCCCTTTCCCGTGTTCTCTCTTCTCCCATCTCCTTTTCTGTTGACTGTTCTTCCTCTGTCATCTCTCTTCTGTTTCCTCTCTCCATCTTCTCCTGTGTCTTCTTTCATACTTCCTCTCCCATGTTCTCCCTGCGTGTTTTTTCTGCCTTCTCATCTCCTGCACCACCTCTTTTGTGCCTCTTCCTCACGTCCTCTGTCTTCTCTCTACTGTGTTTCCTCATTGCCTCACCTGATGCTTCTTTCTCTATGCTTTTCTTCCTTCCTTCTCCTCTCCTTTCCCTTCATATTATCTCCCTGCCTTGTCATTTGCACTGTGATCTCTGGTCCCCCGTGGTCATTAGTGTCCCCCTCTGCAAAATAAGGACATTGGACCCAGTGATCCCAGAGGTCCCTCCCAGCTCTGTCATCCTTATCCTGCCTCCTCTCTGTCTTTGTCTCCTTGTAGGCAGTGGTGTGGGTGCAGCTAAAGGTCTATAACCGTGAGGTGGAGAAGAGAATTTTCCCTATGTATGAGCATCTGCCTCCTGTCGAGGCTTTGGTGCATGCCGGGGACCATCGCGTGCTGGCTGCTTACTGTGGGGATATGTTCCTTCGCATCTTTGGAGACCATACTCGGTCACTGCGGACCCTGTGTGTCGTGCCCTGTCGTTTCTCCATCAACTGCCTAGCCTATGACCCCAAGTCAGAGATGCTGCTCGCCGGTGTTGCTGGGGCTGTGGTCATGTGGATCATTGAGCCCAGTGGGCGAGGACTGCACCTTGCCAAGGAGGTGTTTATGGCTGGCAATGAGCTGGTGCAGGACATCTCCGTGGCTGGCCCCAGTGGGAAGATGGTGGTGCTCTGTGAGAGCCTGGTGCGCATCTTCAGACGGTTAGGCCGGGACAAGTTCGAGGAGGTCAAGGTCTTCACCTCTCCGAGCAGCGGCTTACCTGTTACCTGCTCTTTCACCTGCAGCGCCCAGGGGTACCTCTATACAGGCAATAAAGAAGGACAGGTCCAGGCCTGGAACCTAGACCGCTCCCATACTTTTTTCAGCTTCCAGGCCCACTCCAAGGCAGTGGTGTGCATCCGCAGCCGGCCTGAGAACCACACCCTGCTCACAGCTGGGAGAGAAGGCATGGTCAAGGAGTGGAACCTGACCTTGGGCATGCTCCTTCGGCAAGTGAACCTGGGGGAAAAACTGATCAACCTGGAGTTCTTCAGATCCAAGGCCTTCTTCTCCCAGACCACCACCACCTTCTCGGTATATCATCTGCCCTGCTTCTATCGGCTCTTTCACGTCTGTGGGTCCACTCCTCAGGAGGTGCGTCAGATCTGCTGCGGTAGCAACTCCTCTCGCATCTCCTGCTACACTCAGGATGGCCTCCTGCGTTTCCTGTGCCCTCTGACCGGGGAGCTCCTGCTGCTGACCTGGCCCTTTGCCCTCCTGGAGCAAGCCGTCGACTGGACCTATGACCCTGACCGGGAGGAGATCTTCGTGGCCACGGGCAGAGCGGACGTGCTGGTGCTGGACGCTAGTCGCTGTCCGAGCACCGCCAAGTACTTCTTGTGTGCCTCCTCAAATGCTGATGACAGGGTGCAGTGTCTGGCCTACGGGAGGCCCCAGCTGAGCCGGGGGCTGGAGGGTTTAGTGTTCTGCGGGCACGAGAGCGGCATGGTGAGGGTGCTGTCTCAGCATCACTATGCCCGCATTACCAAGCACTTGCACTCTGCCACAGTGCTGGCGCTTGCCACCTCGGTGGGAATGCCCTGCAGCTCCCGGGAGAACTCCCTCGTCTGTTCCTACGGCATGGACGACTATGTGCACTTGTCCGAGGTCGTCCTCGAAGGAACCACAGTGAGCCTGGTGACCCTCACCAGCATTCTCTGCAGCTGCAAGCTTAGTCAGCTGATCCTACTGCCCAAATCAGTCAGCGCTATCACTGAAACCAATCGCCTGCGCCTCTGGCACTACCAGGACTTCCTCATGTCGCCGGACAGTAAGCCGGAGGACTGCTTCTTGGAGACTAAGCCCCTGCACCTGAACGCCATCACTTCCTTCGACATCTGCCTCAACTTGGGTATCTTCGTCACCGGGGCTAGCGATGGCTCCGTCAAGCTCTGGGACCTCCAGGGCACACTCTTGACCCATTTTGACTCGGCCCTCAAGTTCCAGGCTCTCTGCTTTGCCAATGACCGGGGCGACCTGCTTGTGTCCGTCCACCAGAGTATCTACTTGGTGTCTTGCCTGATGCTTCTCCCTACTGCTCTCTTGAGCCGCCTGCTGGCCATGAACATACCCGACACAGTGAAGGAGACCCCCAAACCCTTCTTGCCGGGTTTCTTCTTGTCCTTTAAGAGCATCAGCGTGCCCCGCTACCGCTACGTAGGCAGTGGGCAGCAGAAGCTGGAAGGGCTGGAGACACTGCTCAACTTCAGGGCCGTTACCTTCGACCACTCAGTCCCCCACGTGGTGCAGGAGGGAGGAGGCCTGATTCTGGCGGCCGAGGACACGTACAGCGAGAAACACCGGCTCTGCTTCTCTGCCGAAGAGACGAAGCAGAGCCAGCTCCAGAAGCAGATGCGTTCTGTGCCCTCTGGCCCCCGTGCTGCCCAGCTGCTGAGCTGGCACGGAATGAACAGATATCCGCTGCTGTGCAAGTTTTTTGGCCAGGGGCGAAAATGGATCATAGCGCCTGACGGCTACATCCCTAACTCGGTGGTGCGGGCTTTCCTCTGGCCGGAGGGCACTCCTGTCTTTCTGATCCCTGGGGACATCTCCTCCCAGGCCGTGGAGCCAGAATGGCCTCGGGAACGACCGGAGCTTCCGTTCGGAGTGGAACCACCCGTGGTGCAGGATCAATTCAGCATCCAGCGCCTGTTACGCCAGCCCCGCCTGCGCTGGGCTAGGCGCCCCGAGACCGTTTCTGAGTCGCCCCGCGACGTCTTCATCGACGTCCGCACCAGGCTGTCGCAGACGTTGAGCAAGGGGGCCGTGGACAACATGATACAGACCCTCCTCAGCATGATGACCAACTCGAACCCGGAGAAGTACGAGAAGTGCATCAACGCCCTGGCGCAAATCTTTGCCGCCTACCAAGTGTCCCCCAGTCTGCGCTCGGCCACCGCCAAACACCTGATCGACTACACCTCCCACCTCCTGGCGGCCTTCCGCAAGCTGGCCTGGGAGGGGCTGCAGAAGCTGGGCTTCCTCAGCCACTTGTTTGCCATCCCCTTGGCCTGGGGGCTGCTAGACATGAACACTGAAGTACGAGGCAAAGCCTGGGACCTCATCGTCGGTGTCGCGGGCATCAAAACGAAGACGGAGCTCCTCAACCTGCTTCTGCGGGATGACATCTTCTTCGAACTGCAGTAAGCGTGGCGGGACGTCCAGTCTCGCTTCCATCTGCTGGCCCCCTCCCACCACGCTCTTCAACCTCGGGGACCAACATTCACTGGCTCTCCGTGTCTGCCATTTTTCCCGAGAGCCCAGGCTCTGGGATGCTGGGGGGGGCGGGGGGGAGGGGCTGATCTATGGCCCTTCCCGGCTCCAGGCTCAACCCCAGCACTGTTCTAAGGTCCCTTCTAGTTTTGACACCCAGTGATCCGTCCTGTCGCAGAAGGCGGGGCAGAGAGAACCAGAACCCAAGGCAGCTCCTGCTCTAGACACGCCGTGTGACACCGTGTGTAAAAAGCCTTTGTTGGCGGACCTTAAGGAGCTGAACACTTCGCTTTTCCAAAGGCCCTGCACGCTTTGACATTCTCTGTCCTAAGGTCCTTTCCAGCCCTGTCGGTCCCTGTTCTGAGACCCTCCCACCCCTGACATTCCCTGTTCTGAGACCCTCCCATCCCTGACATTCTCTTTTCTAAGCTCTCACACCACCACCGCCTCAGCTGTTATTTCCAGTTCTTAGCCTATTCCCAGTCCAGACATTATGGGTTCTGAGGAAACTCTCAGCCCTGATATTCTCATTCTAAGACCCCTTCCAGCTCAACCTTCTTTGCTAAGGACCCTGCCAGGTCTTAAGTTTGTAGTTCTAAGCCCTTTCCCAAAACCCCTCCCCAGAACCCACCCAGTCCCAGGATCTCTGACAATCTCTGCTCTAAGCTTGCTTCCCTCCAGCTCTGACATTCCCGGTTCTAAGTTCCCTCCCAGCTCTGACATTCTCTGTTCTGAGGGCCCTCCCAGCTCTAATCTTCTTTGCTCTAATGACCCACCCAGCTCTGACATCCCCTGTTCTGAAGGCCCTCCTGGAGACCTGAGGATCTTTGATTCTGCCCCTTGGCTTCCATAGGAACCAACGCACAGGAAATGAAAGTCTGGATCAGATCCTGGGGATTCGGCCAGTGGACCTGCAGATCCTTTCTAGTCAGGTGGACAGATACCTTGAGGAAAACCTGACCAAACAGGAGAGAGAAAAAGAGGTATCTCTGTCCTTAGAAGTCACAGAGCTGGAAGAGATGGAGATGATGGAGACAATTGAGCACACTAAAAGGCCTTTCAATCTCTCCCCTGAGCATTCCCCAGAGCCTGCCAAGCCTCCCAAAGCAGGCAAACTACGTGGGCACCAACCAACCAAGAAGCTGCTGAGTAAGTAGGGCTGAGAACCCAAGGAGGAGGAGCCTTCAGGGTCCTGGGGCCATAGCACTGTAGAGAGGCCTACCCTAAGAGGAAAGCATGGGTTAGGAAGGGCCTTGCTGAGGGGCTTTGTGGGGTGTAATCAGAAGACCAGAGTTCGAATCCTACCTCTGGTACTTACTACTTATCTGCAAAATAAGTAGGTTGGATTAGTTATTTTTTTGCTTTAGTTTTTTTCAATTAAATTTTTTTTTCAGCTAATGCAAATGCCTTCTCTCCCTCCTAGCCCTGTTCTCTCATTGACAAAGAAAGGAAAAGAAAAGAAAAGAAAAAAAGTTACAAACACGTATAATTAGGAAGCCAAACAGATTCTTGCATTGGCTATGTCCAAATACTGTGGCCTCATGCACAATGGTTTGTCTTTTTCTGCACCCTGAGTCCAGTGGTTCTTTCTCTGGCAGCAAGCAGCAGGTTCATCGTGAGTCCTCTGCAACTATGGTGGATCATTGGGTAGATCACAATTGCTAAGTCTTTTTTCAAAAATATTTTTTATTTTTTTTTAAAGCAGGGTTTTTTCCTTTTCTTTTTTTCATTTTCAAATTCTCTCCCTCCCCTTACTTCTTCTACCCAAGGAGAAGGCAAGAAAAAGGAAACCTATTACAAACATATATAATCAAGGGAAAAAAATTTCCCCAATAGTCAAAGAAAGAAAGGAAGGAAGAAAAGAAGGAAGGGAGGATGGAAAGGGAAGAAACTTTCATTTGCACTCTAAGACTATCTGTTCTCTACCTGTGGGTGAATAGCATGTTTTATCATGAGTCCTCTGCAGTTATGCTTGGGTTATTGTATTCATCAGAGTTGCTAAGTCTTTCAAAGGTGTTTGTCTTCACAACATTGTTTTTATTGTATAAACTGTGGTCCTGGTTCTGTTCACTTCATTCCACTTCAGTTCATACAAATCTTCTCATGTTTCTCTGAAACCATCCCCCTCATGGTTTATATACATATGTATGTATGTGTGTGTAAATAGTGTTTTATTTTTTTTCCAATTACATGTAAAGATAGTTTTCAGCATTCATTTTTTTATAAGATTTTGAGTTCCAAATTTCTCTCTCCCTCCTCTCTTTCCTCTCCAAGATATAGGTTATACATGTACAATCATGTAAACATATTTCCACACTAGTCATGTTGTAAAAGAAGAAACGGAACAAAAGGGAGAAGCCACAAAAAGCCAAAAAAACAAAAAACAAACAAAAAAGTGAAAATCATGTACCTCGATCTGCATTCAGACTCCATAGTTCTTTCTCTGGAGGTGGAAAGCATTTTCCATCATTAGTCTTTTGGAGTTGTCTTGGATCGTTGTATTGCTCAGAAGAGCTAAGTGTATCACAGTTGATCATCGCACAATGTTGCTGTTACTGTGTACAGTGTTCTCCTGGTTCTGTTCTCTTCACTCAGCATCAGTTCATGTAAGTCTTTCCAGGTTTTTCTAAAATCCACTTGCTCATCATTTCTTATAGCACAGTAGTATTCCATTACATTCATACACCACACCTTGTTCAGCCATTCCCCAATTGATGGGCATCCTCTCAATTTCCAATTCTTTGCCACCGCAAAAAGAGCTGCTATAAATATTTTTGTATATGTAGGTCCTTTTTCCTTTTTTATGATCTCTTATAATAATGGTATTGCTGGATCAAATAGACACAGTTTGGTTGCCCTTTGGGCATAGTTCCAAATTGCTCTCCAGAATGGTTGGATGAGTTCACAATTCCACCAACAATGTATTAGTGTCCCAATTTTCCCACATCTTCTCCAACATTTATCATTTTCTTTTTTGCCATATTAGCCAATCTGATAGGTGTGAGGTGGTACCTCAGGGTTATTTTAATTTGCATTTAATAGTGATTTAGGGCATTTTTTCATATGACTACAGATAGCTTTAATCTCCTCATCTGAAAACTACCTGTTCATGTCCTTTGACCATTTATGAATTGGGAATGACTTGTATTCTTATAAATTTGACTCAATTCTCTATACATTTGAGAAATGAGGCCTTTCTCAGAGACACTGGCTGTAAAAATTGTTTCCCAGCTTTCTGCTTCCCTTCTAATCTTGACTGTTGGTTTTGTTTGACTCACTCATTCTTTAGGATTAGATCATTTAGTTTCCAATTAATTTTTAATCTATCTTTCCATGGCCCTTTATTATATGTAATTTTTATTTCGTCATGATCTGAATAGGATGCCAGATCTGCTACACCTCCTTCCTTTACATTTTTTTCATTAATTCCTTTGATATTCTCGACCTTTTTGTTCTTCCAAATGAATATTATTTTTTCATGCACAATAAGATAAATATTTGATAGTTTAATTGGGATGGCACTGAATACATAGATTAGTTTAGGTAAAATTGTCATTTTTATTATATCAGCTTGACCAACCCATGAACAATTAATATTTATCCAGTTATATAAATCTGACTTTATTTATAAAAATGTTCACATAGTTCCTAGAGGGTTTGATCTGATCTTGAAGAACCCTTCCAGCTTTAAAATGTCATGATCCTCTGATCTTGTACCTGGAGAAAGTCAGTGTGGCATCATGGCTAGGGCAGTGAACCTGGAGCTTGGAGGACCAAGGTTCAAGGCCATTGGTAATTAAATCTATTAGAGCTGATGAGATCGCCCAGTGAAGTAGTCTAGAGGGAGAAGGGAAGAGGGTCCAGGACAGAGCCCTGGGGGACAGTTACAGGGCGCGATCTGGACAAGGATCCAGCAAAGGAGCCAGAAGGAGCAGTCAGAGAAGTAGGAGGAGAACCAGGAAGGATGCTGATATTGTGGTTGTTCAGTTGTGTCTGACTGTTTGTGACCCTATGGACCACAGCATGCCAGGCTTTCTCATCCTCTGCTATCTCCTGAAGTCTAAGTTCCTGACCCTGTGTATCCACCTCATCTTCTGCCATCCCCCTTTCTTTTTGCCTTCCATCTTTCCCAGCATCAGGGTCATGGGAATCATGAAAACCTAGAGAGAAGGAGAGAGCAGTCAACTGTGCCCAAGGCTGCAGAGAGGTCAAGGAGAATGAGGATTGAGACAGCGCCACTGGAGTCAGCAATTAAGAGTTTTGTGAAGTTGGAGAGAGCAGTTCTGGTAGAATGATGAGTCAGATGCTGGATTATAAGGAGCCGAGAAGAGAATGAGAGGAGAGAAAGGAGAGGAGAGGTACCTCCTGCAGATGGTCATCTCGAGGAGTTTAGCCACAAAAGGCAGAAGAGGATGACGGAAGGATCAAGGGAGGGGAGACATGGGCATGTCTGTAGGCAGGAGGGAAGGAGCCAGGAGACAAAGAGAGACAGAGATTGAAAATAAATAAAGAGTGGGGATGACAGAGGGGACATTCTGTTGCAGGATATGGAATGGAATCGGATTGTTTGAGCCTACAGACAGGCTTATCTTGGTCAGGAATAAGGCTACCTCATCACTCGAGCCAAGGGTGAAGGAGGAGAGACAGAAGGCACCTGAGGGACAGGAGATGAGGAAGAAGAGAGAAGGCACTCACAGTGAATGACCTTAATTCTCTCCCATGAAATATAAGGCAAGGTTCTCAGCTGAGAGAGTGGGTTGAGGACAGATCAGAAGGTTTGAGAGAGCTGCTGTGGAAGGTCGAGAGTGAGCTGGTAAGGGAGGTAGAGGAGGATTGCCTGGCAGCAGTGAGGGCCCAGCTGAGGTATAGCAGTGGAAATCTGTAGTGGACCTGGTCAGAATGATTGCATGACCTTCTCCATCTTTGTTGAGCTGCACTCTCTAACTCCTTACCCTGATCTAGTGACACCGGCCTCCCAGCTGGTCTGCAAACAAGACCCTACATCTCTCACCTCCAGGTATTTCCTCTGGTATGTAGGAGCAAAGGCAGTGGATGGTGGGAATCACCTGAGGCTGAGGCTTAGCAATTTACAATCAATGTTATAGAGGGGTCAGAGACTCAGGAGAAGAGGAAAATGCAGAGCTGAGTTGTTTCGCCGCGGAGGGGTCAAGATGGAGAAAAGAGGAAAGAGTAGCTAGTGCAGGGGCAGTGGCCTGGGAGAAAATTGAGGAGTCAAGAGATTAGAAGTCACTATGCGGACAAACAGGGGAGAGGAAGAAAGCAAACAGATTATGTTCAGATAAGGGGATTTTGGAATTCTTGAAATGGGGGTGCTATGTTTTGTGAGTGATAGAAAGATGAAGGGTATAATTATCTTTGTGTGTGACTAAGGTAAGACAGAAGAGTAGCCCATGAGAAGTGAGTAGGTTGAGAAATTGAATGGTTAGGGTATTTGAGGGAGGGTCTATGTATGTTAAAGTCCCTTAGGATGAAGGCAAGAGTTGGAGAAGAGAGAAATATTGTGAGCCAGGTACCAAACTCATTGAGGAAGGAAGGGGAATGACCTGGGGGGAGGTCTGTAGGTGAAAGCTACCAGGATTTTGATTGGGTGGGAGATATGAATAGCATGAACCCTAAAGAAAGAGGGGTTACTGAGTGACAGAGGAAGGAGAACCTGGAAGTGGCAAGAAGCATTCCAACTCCCCCACTTCAACCAGTGAGCCAAGGAGAATGAGTAAAGGTATTGGGGAAAAGTGTTGGGAAGGGTGGCCAGAGAAACTGTCAGCAGGGGAAAGTCAGGTTTCAGTAAGAGCTGGCAGTTGGAAGGAGTGGGAGAGGAATAGATTTAAGATGAAGTGAAGGTTGTTGCCTATGGAACAAGCATCCCAGAGGGCACAGTGGAAGGGCTGGGTGGAGTTAGGATGAAGCTTTGGGGTAGGAGGGTTGGGGTGGGGTGAGGATGAAGTATTCGGTGGTTTTGATGATGATCTACAGAGTTCAGAATGCGTAGGGTGTGAGAATGTTCACCTTTGAATAGAAGGTGCCACTCCTCTTCCCAACGGAGGCTGAAGAGGAGGCTGGGCGATCTGAGCAGAGATTGGGTGATCTTTTGTCTGGAATACTGGGGATAGTCTTACTAGGTGCCCTCTGAAGTTCCCAGCCCAGCCCTACCCCCATCTCCAGTTCTGATATGCTCAGACACTTGCACATGTGGTGGGAAGATATTCTAGGTGACTTCTGACATTCTTGTTAACACTGCCCTTTTGGTCTGGAAAGGGTGAGCATTGACTCAATGCCCTCAAAGCTGCTGGACGTCAGAAGGATCTAGCTATGACATACTACGATTCCAAGAAGGCAGCTACTTCTAGGGGAACCAGGCCCAACAGGCATGTAGTACAAGGGTGATTACTCCTAGCTTACAGGTAAGGAAACTGATGCTCAGAGAGCTGAGATGCTTTCCCCAAAGTTACCCATCTGGCAAGTGGTAGGCCATGACTCAAACCTAGGGATCAGAGAACCATAAACTCTTGGATTGGTACCGTCCCAGAGTCCAGATGTGGAAAATGAGGTCCAGAGAAATGCAGTGATTTCCCTAAGGACACATAGGTAATCAGTAATGGTTTCCATGGGAATCCAGGTTCTCTGATGCCATTCACCATGCTGCCTGGGTTTTCTCTAGTCCAGAATTCCTCCCAGACTCTGAGCTAGGAAGGGAGCCAAGAGGAAGCCTATACCCAGAGACCATGACTCCTCTGACCTTGTCTTCAGTCTCACTGACAGGTTCTTTGAGCTCCAGAAGGTTTCTGGTATCTGCTGCAACCCCAGATGAGGTAGATGTATGCCACCTTCTAGACAAATCCCTAATAAGGGCAAGGATAATATGACCCAGGAGATGAAAATGAGCTATATTGTTTTAAGAACCACTTTGAGTGCATAAGTCATTTGGACTATTATAAACACCTAAATTAACTACAAAGGACATATGAAGAAAGACGCTATTTGCATCCAGAGAAAGAACTGATAAATAGAAGTATAGAATAATTTTACATGTATGTACTTCTTTGTGTCTAATAGTAGCCATCTCTAGGGCAGAGAAGGGGGAGGGAAGAAGAAGAAGAAAGTGATGTGATAACTTTACTATATATTTAAAGGGAATAGCAAGTTGAGCATAATAGGCTTGCCATTTCATGTACAATCATCTTTTTTATTATACTCCTTTATGGAAGTGTTTGTTTTATTCCATAAATTAAGAAAGGAAGAGAGAGAGAGAGCTGGGAAGAGACGGAGTCTAAACTGAAAAGGCAGATCCCAGGGTCCATGACGTGCTGTGTACCAAGGGGCAGAGATGAATGGGAAGAATGGTTGTTGGACACAAAGTCAGGGCTAGAGCATCTACTCTATCTAGTTCAGGAAGAGTTAAGAACTGCACGATTCCCCAAAATTTGTGTCTTCTGATTGGGAGATCCTGTATTCTAGACACCCACCCAGGGCTGAAGGGGCAGCATGGCCAGCAGTGGAGTCTGCTGAGCCCCAGCCAAACTCATCCATCCCCCCTGGGCTACAGGCTTGTACACTTGGGCTTCCCTTTAATGCTCCATTTCCCGTTTTTCCCACGTAGCCAAAACTCTCAAGAAATTAAAAGAGGGACGCAAGAAATCAAGAGAAGGCGGACACAAGAAGTTGATAAAAGAAGAGGGACTCATGAAATCAACAGAAGAAGAAGGAGAAGAAGGACCCATGACATTAGAAGAGATGCCCATCGTGCTGCCTTCTGAACACAAGGAGACAGAAGCTATTGAGAAAACAGTGGTTCAGAGAAGAGATACTTGGACATCTCCTACACCATCCTCAGCCCTTCTCTCAGTGACTTCGGATGTGTGCAAACGCAGTATCTTGGAAACCTGGTCCCCTCCACCAGAAACCCTGCCTGACTACGTGGAAGTGAGCCTGAAGGTCATGAGGAGAACTCGCAGCAAAAGAACCAAGAAAAAGAAGCGTGAAATGAGCAGGAAGAAAGAAGCAGAAAGGGAAACTGAGCAAAAAGTGGAGGAGGAGGTCCAGGACGTAGTGGAAGCCCCCCCCAAACCTGAGAAAAAGCCAAGGATGCAGGTTACTTGGCGGGATGACATTTGCCAGCTCATGACCCTGCATATTTCCACCCCACAGGAGAGCATGGCCAAGGACTTGAGTGATGAGCTGGTGACCTTGGCCCGGGAAGTCCTCCTGGAGCAGCAGCCCAGCTGGACACTCTTTCAGGAGATCGGCCCTCGGTTGAAGGAGCCAAGCCCAGAGCCAGTCGAAGACATACAAGGAGATGTGGAGGAGATGGAAGGAGAAATGGAGGGAGAGGCAGTGGAGGAACTGGAACTCACCCCTCCTTCCTCCTCCAAAACCAGGCAAAAGAAAGTCTTCTTCCTTGAAGAGCGCCATTTCACTAAGCAAGAAATGAGGCTGTCCAGGCAGGTAAAGAGACTGGCCAGGAAGGAGAGGAAGCTTGCCAGAGAGGAGCAGGAGCTGGCCATAGCAGAGAACAGACTGGCCCGGAGAGGGGACCAGCTGAGCAGGGAACACGAATTGCTGGCCAAGGAGCAGGAGGCGCTGACCAAGGAGCGAGACAACTTGACCCAAGAAGAGACGTTTGTGATCCAGGGAGAGGACATCCTGATCCGGGAGGACACGAAACCTGAAGAATTCAAGTTGTTCAAAGAGGAAATGAAGGCAGCCAAAAAAACCATTAGACTGAGCAGGGAGGAGAGGAGAAAGTCCAAAGAAGAAAGCGCAAAGGCCAGGGAGCCAAAGAAAAGGGACAAGGGACTTTTCCCCAAGGATCTCGAAGCCACCCCAGAGGAGAAGCTGCTGGTCACCATTGAAAGGAAGCAGATCAAGGACAAGATGGACATCCTAAAGCTGAAGATGGAAGAAGCTCAGGAGGAAAGAATTCGGGCCTGGGAGGACCGGATGAAGGCCCAGGAAGAAAGAGAGCTGACTCTTTTTGCAAAGCATGCCCTGACAGAAGCACCGAGGGCAGAGGCCAAAGGTGTGCTGGGCTGGTCCCCTGAGGAGAAGATGATTACCGAAGAAGAGTGGAGACTGACTCTGGTGGAGCTGGAGGTGATCCAGGAAGAAAAGAGGCAGGCTCAGAAGGAGCTGACGCTGACCCAGCAGGAAATGACGGTGGTCCAGAGAGAGATGGGGCTGAACCAAGAGCAGCAGGCGCTGATGGACCAGGAGATCAGGCTGCTGATGGAGGAGCAGAGGCGGGCCCGGGAGGAGGGCACTGAGGAGCACAGGCTCCGGCAGAAGCGGAGGGAGGGAAGGGCTCTCCCCGGGGAGCGGGAGGAGGAGCAGGCGCCCAAGGCTGATACCCAGGGAGCAAAGAGACTTCGTCACAAGATGAGAGCGGCGCCACCCACCGGAGAGCAAGAGCTACAGCCAGAGATGGTGGAAGAGGGAGGGGAAGGGGGAGAGGGGGGAGAAGGAGGAGAGGAGGAGGAGGAGGAAGAGGAGGAGGAGGAGGAGGAGGAGGAGGAGGAGGAGGAGGAGGAAAAGCTGTTGATGGAAGGTCAGGCGCAGCCCGCGAAAGGGAAGAGATCCAGCATGGAAGAAGAGGAGCCGTCTGCTGGGAGGCAGAGGGTGCTCCTTATCTGGAGGCACCTGATCCAGAAAGAGCTTGAGACAACCAAGAAAGAAAAGAAGCTGATCATTAAGAAGATGGAACTGGTCAAAGAAGAGAAGCTAGTGGGCCGGAAATTACTAGAAACAGTCGACAAGGCCTGGACGAGGCATCTGATGGAAATTAAGAAGACTGAGGAAGAGATCAAGGCAGCCCGAGATGAGCGCAGGTGGCTCAGCCTGAAAAGGCAGCAGCTCTCCGAAGGGAGGACGCTGTCCAAGGACTTGCCTCTGGAAGAAAAAGGCGGGAGCCCGGAGTCCGCAAAACTACGAGAGGAGCGAAAGAGGCTGATGCTGATTGAGAAGAGGCTGGCTGAAGAGGAGAGGGAAATCATCCAGGAGCACAGGACACTGTCCATGGAGAAAAAGCTGCTGATGAAAGAGCAGAAGAAGCTGACGAAGAAAGAGAAGGAAATCACCAGGAGGGAGGGCGAGCTGGCTTTGTGGGAAAGAAAGATGACTTCAGAGGAGAACCTGAAGGGGGAACAAATCGCGATTCAACACATGAGTGATAGCATGGAATTCATGCGATGGCAAAGGAGGAAGCTTCTGGAGCTCCAGAGGGCCGAAGCCACACAGGAGGCTGAGAAGGACAAGTCCGTGTTTACGGAGGAGGGCAAGCTGGCCGCCAAGGAGGAAGAGGAGGAGGAAGAGGAAGAGGAAGAAAGAGAACAGGAAGAGGAAGAGGAGGGATCATTTCTATCTGAGGAAGAAATGGCTCCTGCTGAGCCTGCCAGGGAGATGACTCCTGCCGAGGAATCGGGCCAACCAAAGGATCTTGGCGAGGCTATTCAGACTATTCAAGCGGTGGATGAGAAGGATGCCAAAGTCAGATGGAAGGATGTCACGGTGAAAAAGGCTGGGCTGGAAGTTAAGGGGAAAACGATGCCTCGGAAAGAGACACCACAGAAATCGACTTCAGAGCTCCTGCAGCCACCACAGCAGATCATGACCGCCAGCGAATCCCGGGAAGAGATGCTGAAGTTAATGCTCCTTGCCAGGGCCAAGCGCAGGCCCAGACCCCCACCCAAGCTAAAGGACTCAGTGACCTCGGCCCTGATGCTCTTGAAGGTCAAGAAGGTTCAGTCATCTGAAGCGCGCCCAGAGATCCCTGCCCGGGACATCATGGGACCTGCTGCTGTGGTTCCCCCGAAGAAGTTGCCCAGAGACCGCTGGAGGTGGTTTCTGCGGATTCACCAGACTGTCAGAGCCTTCACGGACACCGTGGCCCGACACAGAAAAACTCTGGCTTTTGTGTGTAGTGCATTCTCCCACATGACCCACAAAGGAGGCTGGGACCGATTCCAGTCTGCCCTGAGGAAGATTCGTAAACAAGGGAAGATCACCAAAAGAAACATGGACTACCTTTGCCAGCTGCTGGAGCAGACCTCACCCTTGAAGCAGCTGGAGTGGGTGCAGATGGCCAATCTGGAGGCCATTGCCTCCCACTGGGAGGTCCCCAAGCCTCCCCGACCAGTCCCTGAGCATGCTGCTCGTGTCCGCCCCACTGTGGAAGTCATCCCTCCACAGGCAGAATACCCCAGGCTTCCACCCAGAAAAGACCTCCTGGGGCCTGAGCTTCCCCCTCTCTCCAGGCCATCTGTTCACTATGGCCTACTCACCCACTTGGTTGCCTCAAGTAAGGCCACAGACAGGAGACCAGAGTTCCTTGAACCAGTCATGAAAGACCTGGCTAAGATTTCTCCCCTTTACTCAGCAAAGATCCTTGAGATCTTAACGCTCCAGCGAAATGTTCAATTCTGGAAGGCCAAGATAAGGGACCATCAGCTGTCTAGGGTGAAGGCAAAGAAAGTATTTCTGCCCCCTGCAGTGAGGCCTGGAGCCCCAGGAAGACTCCCACCCACTACAGCAAGGCTTGGACCCCCAGAAGGATTCCTGCCCACTGTAGCCACACGGAAGACCAGGCCCCGGCCCCTGCCCCTACCCTTTTCAGTGAAGACAGATGCAAAGAAGAAGATGCAGTGGGAGACCTTCCTGGCTCTCTACCACGTCCTCCTAGCAGTGCAGAAGCAGGAGAATCAATCCACAAGCTCCACGTTGATAGACCAGGTCTGCCACATTTTAGATCTCTACCAAGTCAAGACTCCAAAGATGCAGCGGCTGCTACAGGAGCTCTCAGACCAGAAAGCCCAGCCCCTTCAACAGATCATCTACAAAAAAGCCTTGCAGGTCACAGAGCTGGTCCCTGGAGAGCGGATCCTCTACCATCTCCTGTGTAACAATGAATTGACCCCACCAGAGCCACTCACCTTCCAGTTGGTGGTGCCTCTGCCAGAGAAGAACCAGGTGCACACTGTCATGCCCTTGGGTAAGACCCGCTATGGCCTCCTGGAGCTAGCCTGGAGGAGCCTGCCTCAACCAGACCCCCATCAGGCTGAGGTTCTGCCCCAAATTCCCACTGCTACCTCCCAATGATTCCAGGTCCTCCTGGGCCTCTCCTTCTTCCCTCCCACCCCCCAGATACTTATCCCTGTGGGGTTAGGGAAAAGATGCCAGGTGGGCAGATGAGGACCAATGAGAGATGTCCTCTTGCTGAGCTCCTCCAGGGTTGGGCCCCCCCAATCTCCCCAGTTTTTTGAATCCCTCTTCCCTGCTGCCATCAAGTCCCCCTCTCCAATGTGCTCAACAGACCCACTTAGCTTATGGTGCTGTCATGGCCCTCCTGAAAAGTCCAGGTTTCTTCTAACTCTGCTGACCATTGCATGGATTCCAAGTCACCAAGGGAGCCAGGAATTGAAGGAAGAAGCTGTTAGTGGTTCTCCAAACCAGCCACTCAATTCCCTCTCCTCCACCCAGCTACTGACTGAACAGGAGAAGGAAAAAAATCTGCTGACAGGGAGAAAGGCATGGCTGAGCCTTAGCCACAGAGCTTCCCTGGGTGCCCAGGGAGAGGGGATCTGTACAAAAAAGCCAAGGGAGTGAAAACAATTTGGAGCCAGTTGCAAAGAAACAAGGGCAAATGGGAATTGGTCTCTTTGCTATGAAAGGCTCATTCAGGAGAAGGGTCTGGAGTTGGCTGTCTAGTGCTTCTGTAACTTCTCACAGCCTCAAAAGGGGCAGGGTTGGAGCCTTTGACCTTCTGCCTATGTCAAATAAAAGTTGCAATTATCATCTTCCCCAAAACTCTGGCTTGGCTTGGGGGGGATGTTGTGGGGGGTACTGGCTGGATGCCAGGAAACAACAAAGAGGTGGAGTCATTGCTTCAGGAGACATAGGAATGGTCCTGGGTCTCTTCTGCCACCACTCCAGCACCATTTGTCAATTTCAGAAGATCAAGTGTCCCAGGTTCCCAACCCCAGGGTTCTTCTCAACTCTTACTCATATCCAAGCTGTGGCCTTCTCCTCTGAAGCATCTCTTGTGGATTTCACCCTAGCTACAGCATCTCATGTCTTGTGGATTTCACCTCTATCTTACAGCATTTCTTGTGGATTTCACCTCCATCTACAGCATCTCTTGTGGATTTCACCCTATCTACAGCATCTTTTGTGGATTTTCACCTCTATCTACAACATCTCATCTCTTGTGGATTTCACCTCTATCTTACAGCATTTCTTGTGGATTCCACCTCCATCTATAGCATCTCT